TAATACATTTTGAATGATTTGTACACCTATAAAAAGTAAATATAATAACACAGTGGTATATCAGATTACACTATAAACAAGTCATACAGTTGATCCATGTCACCACTAGACTAACTGTGACCATTACATCAAAAGTACATGGTGACTATATATGGTGTTCATGTACCAAGCATTCAGCTCCAGCATAGTTTGCATTCACTATTCACACTGATATTCACATAGCACAGTATATTATGGGAAAGTATGTCATATGACTATTGGTATTATCAGCACTGTGCTATATCCCCTATGTACTTCATTATTACTCAAGTTTAGCCAAATTAGCAATTACATATACATGTATACACTATATACTATACAGTATATTAGGGTGTCATTACTCATATTATTATTATGAGGAAACCACAGGCATGCAGTCATATGACTGCTGCGCTAGGTAAACTTGTGGTTTTGATGATGCAATATATCAAGGAGCTGAGAATAACAGTAAACAAGGTAACCCAAATCTAAAAATAATGCATCTAAAAATAGGACTACTGTGTCAAAAATAGTACAAAGGGTGAAAGGAACAGAGTTTAACACAATTGAATAATTAATTGCTAAATTAAGCAATTCAAGTTACTAATACTCAACTTTGATGTAATAAGCTTACTAATGTTTATCGATTTCTGTTTTCCTCCAGAAGACAAATTTAAAACACAATCTTTCACTCCTTGTAAAAGCCGTATTCTTAGACTATCTGATTTATTAAGAAAGACTTCCTTGTGTCCTTTATGTATACAATCAGATTCCACTTTAATCTGTCGTGGTATTGATAAAGGACGCGAGCGATTAAACTAATAATAATAATAATAATAATAATAATAATAATAATAATAATAGGAATAATAATAATATAATACTCACTGTTAAGCTAATGATGGCCACTGTGCGGCCATTAACTATTCTATATTTTACACTACTTACATTAAATGAAATAACTAAAAAAAATTGATATAAAAACAGCTTTGTGATAATAAAAACTTACAGTTTTTAAATGAAACACTACGTTGCAATGTTTCGCCTGTACCGGCAGGGTTTTTGCCAGTTATAAATACTGTGTAGTTTGCTGCTGGATCAAAATTGCTATCAATTTTATTTCCACTCACAACAAACGGTAAAATATGTACAGTTTCTTCATAGACAGTTTCATTATTAGTATTCTTAATAATGATTAATAGTTCGGTGTCAGTATCAATGATCCCAGTGATCACAATCCCATTGGATGTCACCTTTACTGATACATAGTTCGATAAGTTGACAGGAGGACCTATTGATAAAACAATAATAATTATTATTATTAATAGCAATCTCTTTCTCTCTTTCTTTCCTCACCATTAACTGTAAGGTAGACTGGAGGGAAGCAGACATATGACCCACCAGGGCCACCACAGTGAGCACATATGTCTATTCTTGTTCCATCTTGTGCAACAGTTAGATTATAAAATTTATATTCTATAACCTTTTGCCTTTCTTCTTCATACAGTAATATCTTACGGTTTGGTCCGTGGCACTGCTTACTGGCCCAACAATCACTTTCAAATGTCCTCAACCTACAGTGGTTACTATAGTCTTTTGGAATTGATGCATAAAAACTAGCATTGCCACTAGCAGTAGCATATACAGTAGCGTTCACAGGAAATGTAAAGTTCTGATACTCAGTTTCTAATCAGTGAAGAACATGGTGAGCATTAGAGACATGTTACTGTACAGCGAAAACTTACCACTCTCATTCGCCACTTTCACTGCGTTATATGCATAAGAATGAGATATCCTCTCAAAACAGCTATTGTGCTGACAACCAAATGTAGACACAAAAGAAGGCTGCATCAGTAGCACTAGCAAGCAAAGAGAGACCATCTCGAAAGTCGTCTTCACAGACATTATCACCTTTTGAATTTCTGGGGGTAAATCCCTTCAGCTGAATATAAGGGCGTGGTTGGCAATGCATAAAAATAAACATAGATAATAGATTTTATCTGCTTTAACAAAAACAAAATTATCATTGCAATAAATAAAATAAACAATATTTCTGACATTTGAAAAAATCCTAAAATAAGTAATAAATAAATTTATTGACAAGGAGGGGAATATTTGAAAAAGTCTAATAAGTGTAGCACACGCAGCAGTTGCAAAAGAAACTAGAAGTAGGTCAAGCAGCACAATAAAAGCAGCAAAATAATGATTATAGCAAGAAAATGATATCTGGCAGAAAGTACAGTAGCAAAATAGGGTCCAGTTTGATACTCATTAGTTGGCCTTCTCAATTCAGCTGTATCAGAGAAAGATAAAATCATTGTTATTAACTTTATAATTAACTTGTATCACTCACTTGATGTGTATTAAGAGAACTGGCAGGAGAGACATACACTTGCTGTGATGAAGCAGCTGCATCATCTACCTGTATGCTTCCTTGTCTAACCATGCCAGGCACAAACTAATCAAAAATATATCATTATCATCATCATCATTAATACCTCATTACTAACGTACATTAGGCTTTGTTTCACAATCTGTACCAGCAATAGGTTCAGACAACGGAAAGTCATCTCTTTGTAACTGATCCAAGCCTTCATTTTGTGGTACTGGCTGATCATGTCCTTGATGAGTCTTCTTCTTCTTAAATACATCCAGTATAGATGTGCTCTTTGAAGGAACAACATTTTGTGGTAAAAGTTCAGTCCATGAATATGCTTCAGAGCTACAAGTTGTATCTTGAGCTGCTGGTGGCCTACAAGATTGACCAGTTGATATAACAACAGGTCGGCCATCTCCTTCACTGTAAAATAATCAGTATCATACAAATAGACACTAATAATAACAATAACAATAACTTACCCTACTTCTGTAGCTTCCATTGGTTTTGCGAGACTGTTTTGAGCTGAAGCGCTGTCCACAGTAGCTGATTCTTTATGTTTATCTGCAGTAGCTGGTTCTATTTGTCCTCCATTGTGTAGAGAAGGAGTAGGAGTATTAATAGACTCATCACCAGTGTTGACCGTGTTGTCCCCATTTTCTACATTATTTACCTGTACCTGTCTTTGTCCTATATCATTATTTTCTTCATTGCCACTACGGTTAGCAACAACATCATTAATTTCAATATCTACGTCTCTATTCATTCCTCTCAATACTGCTCCTCCTTCATCAACTCTTCCTTCATTTCCTCCTTCTCCTCCTCCATCATCTCCTCCTCCTCCATCATCTCTTCTTCCTTGATGAGGTGCATATCGTCGTGTTCTCCTTAAACGCCTCGCTGCAAATTTAAACAAACCATTACTGCATTGCTTTAAAAATTAATTATAATTTACCTCCCACTCCTAGCAGTATGACTACAATTATAGCAACAATCAATAGTAGTGCAAAGATCACTGAGATCAGAACAATGACGATTAATCCAACTACAATAAGATTAAGAATAGAATAATAAACATATCATAATCATGATTGGGGTAAGCCTCACTTAGATAACACTCTCTGTTAATATGTTTGTACAGTGTACATCTAAGTCAACTATTCATTTGAGCTAATTTTCCATTGATGCGGGTCATTTTGACTTTTTGGAACAAATTAAAAAATTTGTAAAAAAAATCTAATTTTGATTGGAATCAGCTCAAAATTGAAATACAACATAAAAACATGTATATGTATCAGGAAAAATGTGACCATAATTGACAAAAGGTACCTTATGGTGGATTTTTAAGCTCATTATTATAATAAAAAATATCAACCAGGAAGTGCTGTGTTAGTCAACAATTATTTCTAAAGGTTAGATAGTAACTTTTTGCATCCTCTGGAGTAATTATATGATAAATGGAGCTCAGGAAGTTGGATTTTTTAGGCTATAAACACCAATTTTCCTATCCGCCATAATGTACCTTTTGTCAATTATGGTCACAAATTATAAAAATCAAAAAATTTCTCCTAGTCATTTTTGGTGAAATTTGGCTGATGACCCTGTACAGGGACTTTGGCCCAATTTCGGAGTAACTTGTAAAAAAATTTAATTTTGATTGGAATCAGCTCAAAATTGAAATACAATATAAAAAACATGTATATGCATCAGGAAAAATTATAAAAATCAAGAAATCTCTCCTAGTCATTTTTGGTGAAATTTGGCTGATGACCCTGTACTATAATAGTACAGGGACTTTCGGAGCAACTTTAAAAATTCGTAAAAAATTTAATTTTAATTGGAATCAGCTCAAACTTGAAATACAATATAAAAACATGTATATGCATCAGGAAAAATTATAAAAATCAAGAAATCTCTCCTAGTCATTTTTGGTGAAATTTGGCTGATGACCCTTACTATAGTACAGGAACTTTGGCCTGATTTTGGAGCAACTTTAAAAATTTGTAAAAAATTCTAATTTTGATCGGAATCAGCTCAAACTTGAAATACAATATAAAAACATGTGTATGTATCAGGAAAAATTATAAAAATTGAGAAATCTTTCTTATTCATTTTTGATAAAATTCATTGCTTTGTGATAACTTACCAGGTACATTCCTTTTCTTAGTAGTAGGTGTATCATCACTTGGATCATGGCTCATCGTACAAGTTACTGAGAAGTTCATTGCAGTATGATTACTATCAAATGACCTTCCATCACTCAGTAATGGATACACAAATACATTAAAGGTCCCATTAGATAATTGAGTACTGCTGTTAGCTATAGCATAATGGTGCAAAGAATTCCTTAGGATAGGTTGCTTGAAGAACACTGTCCCATTGAGATATAGCACCTGTACCATAACACCAGTGACTCCATTTAAGAGAGTAGCATTAATGGAGTAGTATCCATCATGTGTCACTCTAGGCCATATCCTGATATTGGGTATACGGCTAGTATCTACATAAGGAAATGAGTTGATATTCATAATACACCTACTCATCAGCAGATAAACACACACTACACACATTATAATGCAATCCATGCACATATGTGTCACATGATTGTACAAATAAGGAAAGGCATTTACCATAGGGCAATAACATAACCACACAAACAGGGCAACCATCAGATTCATTATCTGAGTATGTTATCACATGACACTAGTGGCTATGACACACATACAGAGTTCACTAGGTCAATCAAAGATGACCTTTTTATCATAATATAATTGCAAATATGGTAGTGAAAGCATATGTGTACATACACACATATGCTTACCAACTATTGCTTCCTTCTTTGTTGTCTTTAATTCAATATCAATAACACATTGTTGTTGATCCATCAACAAATCAAGAAGAAAAGAAAAAGACTCGTTTAAGTATAAAAGCGCATGTCCACCTGCCAAACAGCTGGATTCCACATTCAAGTAGTCCAGATATAACAGGGAACAGCTTTTATTGACCTTAATTTTGATAAAATATAAATCATAAGTTATAGTATACAACGTACCGTAATATAAAATAAAGCTTTAACTGTATCATTTACATATTTAACCGCAGTACTTCCTATGCTGAAATCAGCTGTCACTGTGGATTAAAAATAAAACTATTATCATTGTAATTTTTATAAAACTTACTATTGACATCAAAATTGAGATTATATGTCAAAGGATTGCTATCCCCTGCTTTGTTAGTGGCAACAGCAGTGAGTTGATACTCATCCCTCGGGTTAAACACGGAGCCATTAATGGAGTGAGGTAAAGTCAGACTATCCTCTTTATAGATTGTGACGTTTGAGGAGTCCTTTATTTCAACCGTAAGTCTCGCGTCTTTATCAATATTACCTGTGATCACAACTTCATTACATGTAACCTTTATTAATATATCATTGTTCATGATATTAGGACGACCTAAAATATAGAATTAAAAAACTTATATCTTAGTTGTCTAAAGCATTACATTTAATTAGTGCATTGTAATGAAAACAAAAACAATAATCATACCTTTGACATAAAAGTAAGCAGGAACAAAGCATTCATAGTGGTCCATACAAAATATGCACACGTCTATCCTGGTTCCATTTACTGAATGTTCCACTCCATTAATAGTGTAAATGAGGTGCTCTCGCCCATCAGCACCATGATATATTATCAGATTGGTACAGGGAGTAGATAGCTTATAGTCATTAACGAATATTATTGGACCAGTACAACCATCAGGCAAAGGAATAGTGGCATTAGCTGATATGTTACCTCCAACATAGCCGGTTGTTGTCTTTGGGCTAATAGTAATTGCATCTGAAAAGGTAAAATTAAAAAAAAAACAATGAAGTATAAGAAATCTTCCAAAAAACCACGAAATCGTGTAGTTATGCATGCATCTACCAGCTATAGATCTAACCTTCTTGTAGATGTCTCGTTGTTGCAGCAAAATCAGTTAATCTTTCTGTTGGGTTAATATCGCAGTTGGTACTACTCTCGGTATTACCTGATAGGGGCGAAGTTAAAACAACAACCACCAGAAAATATACTCCTAAAGCCAGGTCTAGTCCTGATGAAGACATAATAGAAATCCTCCATCTCCATCACAGTAGCACATTGGCTTATATACAGTTTGGAAAGTTAAAAATTCAATTAGTTCACGACATTATGACAAATTCAAATCAAATGACAATAGTTGGTCACGTGATTTTAACTGTGGAGTACACACGGGTGTTTATTATTCAATTTATTGCTAATCTGATGACATCACACTATGTATAAGAAATTTTAAAATTTACATAGCAACATGCATAGCAACCAGAGTATCACGTGAAAAACAACATGTAGCCATTTAGGGGAAATCCCTATAGGCTTTTGAACCTGTAAATATGGTAGGACAAGAGATGAGCTTCAAGAAAATACCCGACTTAAGTCTTCAAGATGATCTACAAGGTTACTACGGCAGAGGATAGCATGGGAAGTGCTTTGGATAGGCAGTGCTGTGGTGGATTTGTAGAAGTTTTCCAGTACTTCACTTTTCTGTCACTGAAAGGAAAAGTTTCATGGATGCTTATGATACTTTTGCTCTCGAGGTTACAATTTTTCTAGCACAGTTACAGGTAATTGATATACCATGCATATTACAGTATAATAAATTGCATAGGCTACTGAACCTGGTGTTAAGCTGTGTGTTAGTCTGTTGGAACAGTTACAGTAGTCAAGTGACTGAGTCAGGTCAGTGGAAGATACTAGGGAAAGTACTGGGCATGCTGGGTGTATGTGTAGTCAGTATTTACCCTAAGTCAGTCAATAATTGAGTGATAAAAGCGCCATACCTTTGATGTCATTAGATAATTTTATTTATTCATAGGCTTATTTCACTTTTAGTTCTCATCACAGATGTAACAGTGACTGTTACTATGCTAGTCTACATAATTCAATAGTGTGTGTCGATGTGCTCTGTCTTTGTCATTCAAGTAGCAGCTGTTATTTAAACGAACTTGACAATGTATGTGTATCTTAACTGTTTCTAGTGTGTGTAAATAATGTTGCAGTGTATGCAGTCTACTTCCAAACTTCATTCAACAACTCTACAGTGACTTTCAAGATGCTGTATTGCTTGATATAGGATATTTAGGCTATACAATCAAATTCGAAACATCGTCTGGTATAGTGGTATTGGGATTTAAAAAATTGTAACTAGAACAAATGTTATATGGACGTGTAGCTCAACTCCTTATGAATCTGTTTCTGACATTTTTATGAATCAAAAAACTTATATTCCTAAGATATGGACAGATTACTGCAGGTGTATCAATTACTACACCTGGTGCGCAGTCTTTAGTGTAGCTTATTAGTCATGCGCAGTTGGTTTCATCTGATACCAGACAGTTTTTACAGTTATTATAGTCACAGAACAATGTATTTTGTGTTAATATAATAACAAAACTCGGCCAGAAAGGAGCACTAAGATTATCAGTCAGCCATGAAAAAATACCGCAAATGATTCTAATTATCAACCGGATGAGGCTTCATAAACACCCGTGTACAGTGCTAGTGCATATAATTATAATAATACATGTCACGTGAGCAGGAAGTAAGAAAATTGGGTCAATTATCAAGCAACCAGCAAAGCACGGTATAGGGGACATTCCCGGGGAAAGCCCCCTATTGCAGCATTGCTATTTTTTGCTCGCACTAGTGACAGTACTGCATTGCTGGTGACTGCATTGTATTGTTGAACTCATAGGCATATTTTGATGATAATAATAACAAAACATTAGTAAGATGATATGCCTTGACTTCCTGCTTCCCATTATTTTATGTACTCTTGATAATAATTACAAGTTTAACAAAATTAATGATACAAAACAATAAGACTATTACTGTATGTATATTACATTTTGTTGTAGCTTCTTTGGCAATAATAGGTAGGATAATACAAAAGAATAACAAGTAAGAATAGAATAATAGTAGCAAATTAAATTAGATTGCAGTAAAATCAATTTTGTTTAAAACTAGTCAGTTCCACACAGTGGCGTAGCTACATAGGGGCCTGTGGGGGCAAGTGCCCTCATAACTGCTTCTTGTGCCCCTGCAACAAGGCAGGAGACTGAAGAGATACAAGTTACAACTGACTGAACTGACTCAATTGAGCTGGCTATATTGAGTATTAATGAGCATTGCTTTATTCAGTGCCCCCACTGTGCCCTCTTTGTTCATTTATTCTAGCTACGCCACTGGTTCCACATGAAGTGGTGATCCTGGTAGAGACTCTCGAACATCAAATACTATACTTCTCCTGAATCTCCTCTTATTGACAGTGATACCAACACATACTGCTAATATGATCAATATCAACAGTACAATACCACCGAATACACCAGCCACAACATGTACAATATAATTGGTATCATCAATAGTTCCATCTATTATAAATAATATAAAATAATTGGGTAAACCTCACTGAAGCGAAGTAGTTCTGTTTGTAAGCTTGTTTGTACATGTACATGAGCCATTAATGCTTTACATTTTTCTAGTAATCTTAATGTATGTGTGATCATAGATATTAGAGACTACCATGTATGTGTGTACATATGCTTATTTATACTTGTTGATGAGGTGGTTTCAGTTCCAAGTGTTTCAGTGGCTGTAGGACTAACAGTATTACTAATAGTAGACTGAAGAGGAGTAGTACCTAATGAAGGGGAATAAATTATTAATTTTATTATAATATTTACTTTTACTCATAATACTAGAAGAGGAAGAGATAGGAGCAGGTGTCACTTTAACAACCTCAACCAGTGTAGGATAGTAAAGAGCAGGTCCAAATAATAATCCATTATTAATATCATAAACAGTGACAGTATAATTACCCCTTGGTAAGGGCAATGTTGCAATATCTGGTCCCGTAATATTGAAAGATTCATTCTTTCCAGTGGTAGTATGTGTAAATATCACATGACATCCATCAGCAGTTGATGATTCTTCATATATACACTGTACACTAACTGATCCATTGGTATATGTATTAGTAATGCACACATCAATGACCAGATATGTATCTGATGATAAAATTTAATGTCAGTATAGTAGCCATTATGTATACTTACTAATTATGGTTGAGTTCTTGTATTCAAGCTTGTTCCTTAAGTCAAGAACTTGTATAGTATAATTGTATTCAGCGGACATTGTAAGTGTACGTGTATCGTTGACCACTCCATCAGTACCAGTAATTTTGTATTGATCAATGACTTTACTACCACTGGTAATAGTTAGGAAAGTGTTGCTTTTTGATGGTGGGCAACTTAACTAATGAAATAAAAATAAAATACATCCATTCAATTAAGTTAATATTTTACCTCAATAGTCACATTAGGTGTTCGAGAATTATCTTGAATTGTTGTAATAGTAGCATTATAACCAAGACCTATTCAGAAAATTTAACACAACCTATACTTTATTCTTTACTCACCTTCATAACCAGTATTACTGCTAGCATTATATTGATCCACTAGTGCTGTTACAGTGATATTGAATGTATCACAGTCTGTGACATTAGCCACTGTAATATTTGTATGGTTTGTATTTGTATCCAGTAATATTTCTCCATCTTCATCAGCGACTAATACTTGATAACTAACAGGTGATCCACCAGGAATATCATTGGAGTAATAAACAGGAGGTGACCATGTTACTTGCAGTGAATAATCGGAAGCTTGTTGAGCTGCAGAAGCGAAAATATATTGAATATTTTCAACTGATGATACACCTAATTAATAATGTAAAACAAATAATCCACACTACATATCTAGTCTACTAACCTCTTATTGTTAGTGTAACAATACCAGAGAAACTCTGCTCAAAAGGGTGATGTGATATTATCTGACAGTTAACCTCAACCCCATCATTATCAGGCACAGCAACTATGGTAAGCACTGACGACAGGCTGCCAGGACCACCCGGATCAGTGAAGGATATACTTCTTTGTTTTTAAATGGCAGGAGTAAGTGGAGTAGTTTGCACATGCCACTCTAATACATCTCCATTTCCTTGACACGTAAATGCTGCTGTTGCGAAGAGAGGGACTGTTGCCGATTCAGGGCATACAGTGAAATCGGGCTGGGCCAACGCCAACAAAAGCTTAAGGCAAAGATTAATAACAATAGCGATATAACAAGAGAAACAGTTCATTGTATACCGCATCGTGATCTAAGGGCATGGTAGGGATAAAGAGCTGCGTTTGTAGCGAAGAAACTCCGTCCGACGACAAGAGACTGATAGGTAGCTGCGTTTGTAGCAGTCTGGAGAAACTCGGTTTCACAATGAGTGATTGCTGAATAGTGGCTACGCTAGTCTCTAATTATTATTATACTGTTATTATAGACAGATTCATAGCAGTCAGTGATGATCATGAACACTAAAATAATTCATAATCCAGCATTGTTGTGATGTATCATCATCGCATCATCACTAATCAAGTACCGGATTCATCATCACCAAACAGTTTCATAATCTGGAGTAGATCTGTTCTGTGCTCTCTCATATGATGGATTAACATTAATATGCACTTGTGAACTAATCTGTTGCACTAGAAAGAGTAGATTACATTTCAGTATTAGAAAATGAACTTTACCATGCCCATATGCTGGGTTATTGGTAATCAAACCTATAAAGTTCAACACTGCTAAATCTATGTTTAATTGTTAGACTATACCTTCTTTCTCCTTTTGTCTTTTCTTGTACCATAATGTAGTGATAGCAATTATTATGATAATCAATATTATACTCACTCCACCAATGACTGATAAACAAATAGTGAGTACTAGAGATGATTTTTGACTTGTGTCAATTGTAGGATAATTAACTGAAAAATTAATGTAATAATGATATTTTACAACTGATTTATCTTTTGACTTGTATACCTGGTATTGTTGATGAATACATCTGTGCTTCAGAGAATGCAGTACTCACATCTATAATTATAACATTAATAGGCCATAATTGTAAATTGAGTACACTATTGCTTACCAGTAGTGAAACTGACTATTGAGGACAATGATGGTGTTGAAACTATTACTGCAATCAGTATGGGATGAACAGCAGGTCCATATAATGCTCCGTTAATGATGTCCTAAGCTGTCAATGTGTAATTACCAGCTGGTAGTGCCACCAGTGTAAGTTCAGTTATATTACAGTATTCATTCCTTCCATTACTAGTATCAGTAAATATCACATGACATCCATCAGCAGTTGATCCTGATACAAACACACACTGTACACTAACTGATCCATTCCCTTCAGTAGATACTAGCAGATCTTGTACATTATATGTAGCTAGCAGTGATGAAGTATAATTATTATTATAAAGTTACCGTTATCTTACATATTTTAGTATACAAACTGTCTTCAATATTCCCTCTCAAGTTAGTAAGCATAACAGCTAATTGATAATTCTTGAATGGTGTCAATGAATATTCAATAATTCTATTAGAACTATTGATATACTCATTTATCAATACAGTACTGTTATCCTTCACAATCAATGAACATTCACAATGTGGAGATGGTGTTGATGAAATCTATTATAAAAACAAACAGTATATTGTATAATTGTAGCTATATATATGCACTTCAAATGAAATGTCTTGTATTGAACTATTCATTAGAGAAACAACATAACCTATAATTATTGTAATATTTACCATCATTATCGTAAACTTACTTCCGCTGTTACTGATAGTATTATCAAGTGATTCATATTGATCCACTAGTGCCGTTA